ATTTGTATGCACACACCTGTGTCAGGGACACATAATAGGGTGATCAGTGACTACCCTGAAGCATGCACACATTACCCGGAGGTAAAATTCTGTGGGAGAGATAGAATGAAAATGTGGGTTCAGGGAGAAAAAGGAGTGATACAGGTGTTCCAAGAGGTAAGCAAGAGGGATTCACATCCTTTTTAAATGAATGATGGAGGCTTTCCCCTCTTCTCCCACTCCACGTCCATACTTAGACTTTGTTGTATATATTGAAAAGAGTTTTGTAACCATTTGTTTTTCAAATGCCAATGTTTACAACACACTGGAAGGCACAGCTTTTGTGACTCTCGTAACTTATGATGAAAATTTTAAATGTCAGGATGCCTGGGTGGCTCCATCAGTGGAGCGTCTGAATCTTGATTTTGGCTCAGGTCATGATCCCAGTGTAGTGGGATTGAGCCCCACATAGAGCTCTGCACTGGGCATGGAGCCTGCTTAAGATTCTCATTCTCTCTCTCTCTCTCTCTCTCTCTTCCTCTTCCCACCCCCTCCTCACAAGCAAGCATGCATGTGCTCGCTCTCTCTTTGAAGTAATTAAAAAAAAATTTTTTACATTTATTTATTATTGAGAGACAGAGCACGAATGGGGGAGGGGCAGAGAGAGAAGGAGACACAATCTGAAGCAGGATCCAGGCTCTGAGCTGTCAGTATAGAGCCTGATGGGGTGCCTGAACCCACAAACCGTGAGATCAAGACCTAAGCTGAAGTTGGATGCTCAACCAAGTGAGCCACCCAGGTGCCCCTCAAGTAATTTTTTTTTTTTTGAGAGAGGGCCCAAGTGAGCAAGGAACAGAGAGAGAGAGAGAAATGAGGCTCACCCAATGCAGGGCTCAAGCTCACCCAGTGCAGGGCTCAAGCTCATCCAAGTTGGGGCTCAAACTGATGAACCATGAGATCATGACCTGAGCCAAAGTCAGGTGCTTAACGACTGAGCCACCCAAGTGCCCCTCAGATAATTTTTTTAAAAAAGAAAATTTTAAATGTCAGCTAAAAAATGTGTGAAAGGAATGTTTGGTTTTAATATTATAAGCCTACTAGAGAAAATTTTGAAATCCATGGCTCCAAGAGACCCAGATTTCTTGATATACGCCAGGACAGATTTTCTCTCTCCTTCCTCTGTGCTTCTGTTAATAAGCAGCCTGCCTCTGGGGGCCACATGGGAAGAACGTCCCCTTGCCTGCTGAGTGTGTTTAGGCTTGTTAGGCTTGAGCAACGTTTGGACCCCCGTAAAAGGGAAATAGCATGTGGATCCCTATTGTCAGGTTAAGTGTTTCTATAGTAATGTTACTTTCAACTATAGAACGCCTTGTAACTCCATGGCTCCTGTACGTTGATTCATAAAAACAAATGTGCAAATCAAAAATAAACTACAAAACCAACAAAATTGACATTTTAGTTAATACAGCGGTTGATATCACCTGCTAAAGGAAACTCGCTGCTCTCCTTGGGAATGTGGTGCCAATGGCCATGGCAGTGGCTTGCTTCCTCGTTCAGCTTTCGTTATAACAAACCATATTCCTCGGGGCCACAGAATCACTCACTCTTTGCCTCACCTTTACTCTGTTCAACTACTGTGAAGTTTTTGTGGATAGTCTCCCGGGTTAATGTTCCTGGTGATGTCACCAGGTGCTGTCACTGGGCTTCCCCTGGTGAGGACCCTCCTTACAGACCCTACTTGTATATCAATAGTCCACATCACTTGGAATAAGGAGATTCCATTAGACTCGAGCTGAACATCGTTATTTGGGCCTTAGGACTTTCTGGTTTGCAACACTTTGAATTCTCTCATTCTTTATTAGTTCTTTTTTCATTTTTAAAGACAAGATTTTACTTTTCAAATTTTTAAAAAATTTATTTGTTTTGAGAGCTAGAGAGCAAGCAGGGGTGGGGCAGAGAGAGAGGGAGAGAGAGGATCCCAAGCAGGCCTCATGCTGTCAGCGCAGAGCCCAACACGGGGCTGGATCCCCTGAACTGTGAGATCATGACCTGAGCCTAAACCAAGAGTCAGATGCTTAACCGACTCTGTCACCAGGCATGCCCCAATAAGATTTTACTTTTCAAGTATGGAACTTTTGAAAGACTCTGGATTGAAATCTCTGAACCCAGAGGGGGGACAAAGTGGATGGAACACAAAGGAGCACTGAAGACATGAGTTCCAGCTTCAACATTGCATAACTTGGCTGTGTGGTCTTGGATAACCAACCCCCCTCTGAGCCTCAGTTTCTTCTTTTATCAAATGAGAGGCTAGACTCCATGAAATTCAAGGTTCTAAGCTCCCATCATTCTAAAAGTGACAGGCAAAATCGAATCCCAAAGATAAAAGAATTAAAGTGTTTATAGGGCCCTACAATTTACAAGGCATCATCTCAGTTGATTCCTATAACAATTGGAGGTGCTATGAGGTATCAGTATTCCCATTTTATGGGAATTTTTTTTTGCAACATTGAGAGGCGAAGTGCAACTAAAGTTACTGAACTAAGGAGAGATCTGGGAACTTTGTGTCTGAGATGTTGGATTTCTAAATTTTCTGTAAACATACTGCTGTTTGATTAGAGGAGAAGTTTCTTTATACTTGATGTTCCAAAAATGCTCTTTATCCTCACGAGTGTGAAGCCTTTCTATTCACATGGCTGTGGGTTATATGGGTTATATCATTCATTCCTTTATTCATTCACTCATGTGACCAGGATTTATTTACCGACCATGTCAGCACAGCATTATTCAAAGTGCTATGTGGGGATATAAGAAAACCCATGAGCATCAGTTGTTCACGGGCAACTGGGGGAAAACAGCATACAGCATCTAGGTCTCCTTTTTTTAAAATCTTAATGTTTGTTTATTTTAGAGAAAGACAGAGTGCAAGCGGGTCGGGGCAAAGAGAGAGAGAGGGAGACACAGAATCCAAAGCAGGCTCCAGACGCTGTGCTGTCAGCACAGAGCCCAATGCGGGTCTCGAACTCACAAACTGTGAGATCATGACCTGAGCCAAAGTCGGATGCATGACCAACTGAGTCACCCAGTCACCCACCCACCACTCTCTGTCTCTTTTTTTAAGTCTTTATTTATTTTTGAGAGAGAGAGAGAGAGAGTGAGTGCAACCTGGGGATGGGCAAATAGAGAGGGACAGGGGATGGGAAGTGGGCTCCACACTGACAGCAGCAAGCCCAATGTGGGGCTCAAACTCACGAGCCGTAGATCATGACCTGAACCAAAGTCAGACCCTCAACCAATGGAGCCACCAAGGTGCCTCACATCTAGATCTCTTATTCACTGATACAGATGCAGAACTTAGAACAGTGCCTGGAGCATGGTGGGTAAATGAGTGAATGAAACAGGCACCCAATTCGGGGATCATATAATTGTGACCAACTTCTTCTAGGAAACTTTCCCTGCCGATGCACCACTCAAGGCTCTGTGCTTCTTCCTCTCCACTCTGTCTCATAGCACTTACCACTGTGCTTGTTCTCCTTTAGTTTAAAATTTGTGATCAAAGTCATATGTACATAGAGTTGAAAATCAAATAGTTCCCAAAGGTTGGTAATAAATCACAGCAATCCTTAACCCCTTCTTGCCCCTTCTTGGGCACTCAAGTTCTGACACCTGGCGGCAACCACTTTGAACTCTTGGATCCGTTGCTTCTGGCAACTGCCCTCACGTTAACTAGGTAATATGCATACATGATTTGTTCTTGATGTATCCATTTTAGATGATATCTGGTATCTGTTATGATGGATCACTATTTTAAATTAAATCATATGATTATGAGTATGTGGATATTACTCATTTTGTTTCAAACACTCCGTCAATTCTGTCATCCATCTGCCTTTTATCTTCTCCTAGTGACTGTCTCGAGTATCTTGGGGAGTCCCCCTTTCTCAGTCTTCTCTCCCCAAATTCCTCCTGTTCCAGGTTGGCCATAATGCTCTTCTGTCTCTCTGAAATTCCTCCTCACCTGTCTCCTGGGTTACATCCACTCCTTCCTGGATCCACTTCTTTGTCTTTCTTGGTTTACTCCTTCATCTTTCCAGAGCATAAAGCCCACTCACTTCCTATGACAGAAGAAATGGAGGGTAGAGATTCTGAGTCCTGTAGCATGTCTGGAAATCTGTTTTGTCTCATATCTGAGTGAGGTTAGTAGAGAGTCAAGTTCTAGGTTGAAACCATTTTCCTCAGGATTTAGAAGGCATTACCCATCCCCACTCTCTGTCCCCATCTTCTGCACCCAACGTTGAGAAGCCTGATGCCAAGCTATTATTTTTTCCTCCTTGGTGAATTTTTGGGAAAATTCCTTTATCTCTGTTGTCAATAGCAACATGTCTTGGTGTGGATCTTTTCCCTTTGTTGTTCTGGTTACTCCATCGGCTCCTTCAGTTTTCGTCCCAGTTCTAGAAAATGCTCAATAATTATTTTCCTGTCCTTCTTCTCTGTTCTCTCATTCTGAAACTCCTCTTAGTCAGGTGTTGGACCTCCTGGAATAACCTTCCTTGCTTCTGATCTTTTCTCTCATATTTTTCACCTGTTTAGCATTTGCATTAATTTATTCAACATTACCTACCAAACCCTGTGTAAAATATTTTCTTTTGGCTGTGGTCTGTGTTTTAAATCTCCAAGAGCTTATTCTTTAAAATTTTTTTAAAATGTTTATTTATTTTTGAGGGGGCAGTGTGGGGACAGAGGATCCAAAGCAGGCTCTGCACTGTTAGCACAGAGCCTGATTCGGGGCTTGAAGGCACAATCTGTGATATCATGACCTGAGCCAAAGTCAGACACTTACCTGACTGAGCCACCCAAGTGCCCCTCCAAGAGCTTATTCTTAACCCCTAATTGTTACCATTGTATAGTGCTTTACCCTTGCTTTAAAGCTGTAGTGTTTTCTTTTAAAAATATTATTTGGAGCTATTATTCAATGATCCCTCCTCCCTGATTAGTTCCATTTCCTCTGGTTTCATTTTTTGCAGTTGGTTACTTTGACCTTCTTCACATTGGAGGCTCTCCTTGTGTGTTTGAGGATCCTCGGTTGTTCAGTAGTCAAAGCCCTAAAAGGCTGATTGGAAGCTCTAAGATTTGTGATGGTTCCTCAGAAGGACCTAACCTTGTGGACGCCTTGCTCTTGAACTTCTAGCCACAAGGACTGTGAGAGATAAGCCCACCAACTGGTGGTACTTTGTGTGTCATCCCTAGAAAATGAATACAACGGCCGTGCATTACAATGTCTGTGTTATATTAAATGCATGCATTACAATATGTTTTTTCGCATTAGAAGGGGAAGGTTTCACATGTAGTCATTCTACCAACTTAACCAGAAGTCTGTTGCGTGACCTGGTTTACTTTCTGTTTGCCTATTCTGTACTCTTTTGGGCCCAGGGCTTTTGTTAAATTCTCCTTCGTAGCTACAGTGCCTGGTCTCTAGAAATTGTTCAATAAATTTTTTTGTTTTTTTTAATGTTTATCTATTTTTGAGAGAGAGAGAGAGCATGTGTGCACATGCAAGTGGGAGAAGGGCAGAGAGAGAGAGAGAGAGTGGAAACCCAAGCAGGTTCTGCATTGTCGGCACAGAGCCTGACTCAGGGCTTGTACCCACAAACTGTGAGATCATGACCTGACCCGAAGTCGGATGCTTAACTGACTGAGCCGCCCAGGTGCCCTGTCAATGTTTTGTGAATAAATAACTGAGGGATAGATAGGGTGAGAATAAATAATTAAATAAGCAAGGAAAGTGAGGGACTGACCAATAACATGGATGGTTTTATTCAGGGAAGGCTTCTAGAAAGAGGTAAACACATATTGAAGAGTTGGCTCTGATACATATTTTCATAATTTTGTTTTCTAGTTTAATACCCTAATAAACAATCTCTTTCCCAGAGACTCACCAACCATATTAACTAGGCTGTCCCTTCCCCGCCACAATGGGCAGTCCTAGACTAGGCTTATGTCATAATTCTGATGTTTTGGATGACCTCACAGATGACCTTTCTGTTCTTCCTCCACAAACTCTTGTTTATTCACAGAGTAATGAATCCTTTCAACAGGTGGTTGTGAAACAATGAGTCACAGATATTTGCTGAGCACAAACTATGTGTCAGGAACTGTCTGGTCACAGGACTTGGCTGTGAGCAAGAGACACACATTCCCCCTCTCATGGACCTTAAAAAGAGCAACAAATGATTATGTTTAAAAGGCTTCAGTGACTAGATTATTTAACACCTAAAGACCATTCCTCTGGGGAAGAACAGATTAGTGTTCTTGTGATGAGAAAGTGTGACTTTCATCCAGTTTACTGGCACCTATAAGGGACAGATCCACCTCTGAGTTGCTGTGTTACATTACTGCACGATGGACAGCATAGTTGAGCAGATGGTTCATGAGTTCTAGAGTCTGAAAAATTCAGGAAGAATGGAGCTGACCCAATCCCAGGTCTTGTTTGGGCATCAGGGTGCTCCCCTGTAAAAGGGTGGGAGCAATCCTACTTCATGGATAGTCAGGAGAATCTCATGAGGATGGACCATTATGTGACCATTTTTCTGGGTTACAATTCTTTTCCTAACGTTTATTTATTTATTTTGAGGGAGTGGGGGAGGGGCAGAAATAGAAGTATAGAGAGATCCCAAGCAGGCTCCCCACTGTCAGTGCAGAGCCAGACACGGGTATGAAATCATGAGCCATGAAATCATGGCCTGGGTAGTAATCAAGAGTTGGATGCTTAACTGACTGAGCCACCCAAGAGCCCTTGTGTTATAATTCTTAAACCAGATATGGAAAAAGTCTCTGTTAACTAGATATCAGATTAACTTCCTTAGGAAAGTTTATCGAGGGGTCTAAAAACTGTACTAGGTTCTTGAAAACGCAGCCTTGAGAAATGATTTGTCTGTTTGCATGGGAGGCAGTTTCCCACTTACCCTGTGTCCAGCCAGGCCTTCATCACAAATGTCTTTGTGGCCTAGGCCCTTGATCTTTCACTCAGATTATGCTTGGTGTCTTAGAATCATGTATATAACTTGTTTACCTTGCATGCTTGGAATTTGTAAATCGCCTACGTGGGCCTAGAACGAGGGCCTGTTACTTGTAATGCTCTAGCGATAATCCTGACCTCTATCAAATATCTTCTCCCACCTATTCAGTCCTGGCCTATGGCTGGAATGAGGACATCATGGCGAGTACCAGCAGCAACAAGAACAGGGACACCCAGGGTGATGGTCACACGAGTGACGAAGGCAGACTTTAGTAAAAAGCTTACACATTTTCGGGCATAGCCAGAGCAACCTGCTTTATTTTTCTGCTTCGTTCTAGGTATTTGGGAACAGATGAGTCATGTTTGCCGGTTGTACATACATGTGCATAAATATCTTTTCCCCTCCAGCCTTGAGCTTAAATATTAAAGATGACAACCCTTATTATTGTTAGAAACTGCAAGTAAAAGAAAATTCTCATTGTGTGTACTCAAGCAAAATGACTTCATCCATTTCTCCTTGACTTACACAAAGGGAATCTCAAGTTAAAGTTCATGCTTTAGAAAGCATTATGCAGGACCGTTTGTTTTTTCTCCCACATTGCACATCAAACTGACTTTTTATTCAACTGCGAATGATATTGGGATAATTAAGATAAGCCTCTGAAACACTGTATGAAGACGAACAGAAATTCCACTTACATAATTAAAAGAGAATTTTTCACAATGTTTATTGTCAACGAATACATTATACAGATCTGAGTCATTATAAGTAAATTATTGGCACGCATTATGGCTGTATAGCACTTTCAATTCACCCATTTCCCATAATACAGAGTAAATTGGTTCATCTAAACAGAACAAAACGAAAAACAAAAGCAAAAACTGGGCTTAATTGCAGGTCTCCTCTTTTAGGAATGCTGTCCTTTTAGTTGCAACTCGTAGTAAAATTAGAGGGTGCTGGGCTTGCTTTATGTTTTTTTTTCCCCTGCTTCTTTAAGGTTACTTAAGGTTTCAGCTGGTGAATCTGGGTGGCATGGGAAGGGTTTGGGAGTTTGGGAGTGAGTGTTGAAAAGAGGCAGCCCAGAACACAAGATAGAATTTGTCAAAAAAGACCTTAAGACCAGTGTACAGGGTGATAAGGCCTTAAGGCCTCCCTACCCAAATATGGACCAGCACATCTACATCTCTTAGAGAGTTTACTAGAAATGTAGATTCTCAGACCATTGAATCAGAATCTACATTTTAACAAAAGTCCCATTAACTTGTGAGAAGCACTGCTTTACAGAATATTTGAGATCAGCTAATTCACACATTTTATTTAAAAAGGGAAGGACTGGGGTGCTTGGCTGGCCCATACGGTGGAGCAGGTAACTCTTGATCTTGGGGTTGTGAGTTCAAGCTCCATGTTGGGTATGGAGATTACTTAATCAATCTTTAAAAAAAAATTACAGAAAACCTCCTTAAAAAGAAGGAAGAATGGACTTTACCAAGGTGACTAACTGGCAACATGACCACTCATTATCACTTATAATATCTGTTTAATGTCTGTAGCACCTTTGAAATTCCTATTACTGTTATAATCCTTTTAAAATTTCTATTACTCTTTGTGCTTTTTTCCCCTTGGTTAATATTGCTGTATTCTTCCCCCCAAAAAACAACGTTTGGTTTTGTAGATGCTCTCTAATATATATTTTCTATTTCATTAACTTCTGCTTTTCCCAGTATTATCTTTCTTCCTTCTTTGGGCTTATGCTATTTTTTCTTCTCATTCTTAAGTTGGCCCTTTGGTTTATTAAGTTTAGATCTTGTTCTTTTCTAATATAAGCATCCAAGGCTATAAACTCTTCTCTGAGTACCACTTTAGCTGCCATTGGACACATTTTGATACATTATTTTTAGTTACTGTGTAGTTCTGAGTATTTTCTAACTTCAGTTACAATTTTGTTTTTAGTACATGAACAGATTTTAAATGTTTTATGTATGTTTCCAAACCCATGGGGCTTTTTAGTTCTCTTTTTTATTTCTAACTTGTTTTTTAAGATTATGGTCTTTATATCAACCCTTTGAAATACTTACCAAATAGGTGTGTTAAAATTTCTAAGAGAGATGGTGAATTTGGTAATGTCTCTCATAGAGCTATCAATTTTTGTTTTATACATTTGAAGTTCTGTTATTAGTTGCATTCAAATTTATGATTGTTATATATCTCTGGAAAATTGGACTTTTTGCCATTCATTATGTTATGACCTTTTTCTCCAGTAATCCTTTTCATATTAAAGTTTACTTAGTCTGATGTCAATATTACTACTCAATTTCTCTTTTGGTTAATTATTTTTCTTGGTTTGTGATTTTTTCCTCTTAAGACTTTCTAATCTACTCTTACATTTAAGTATCTCTTTCATTTATTTTTTTTAAGTTTATTTATTCATTTTTGAGAGAGAGACAAATGAGTAGAGGAGGAGCAGACAGGAGAACAAAGGATCCAAAGCGGGTTCTGCACTGACAGCAGAGAGCCTGATGTGGGGCTCAAACTCACCAACCATGAGATCATGACCTGAGCTGAAGTCGGAAACTTAACTGACTGAGCCACCCAGCAGCCACAAGAAGTAGCTCTTTTAAATAGCATACATCGGACTTTATTTTTTTGTCCAGTCTGACAATCTTTGTCTTTTCATTGGAGTGCTTAGTCCTTTTACATTTATAGTGATTACTGATATATTTATTTGGATCTCTGTGCTATTTATTTGTTCTATTTTCTTGGTTTTGTTCTTTTTAAAGAATGTTTTCTTCTTTTTGTCATTTTATTTCTCCTCCGTTTATTTGGAAATAATGTGCAATAGATCTTTCTTTGGTGGTCACTGCAGTGTTAGCATGCATACTAAACAAAACTTAGTAACTCTGAGGTACTATTGAGAGCTTAAACTCCAGTCGTGCACCTCCCTATTTGTACGCTATTATTGCCTATTATTTAATCCTAGCCTTTCCCCCACAAATTAGATGTTAATATTATCAGTCAACTGGAATCATTTGTCTGTGGGTGGACAGAATGTAGAGAAGCGTACAGAAACAATGAAGAAATGGTAAACATCAGGAACGGGGGCTAGTCTCAATAAGTTGAGACTTATTGAGGGCTTTGAACTTTATCTTAAAACTAGGAAGCCCTGAAGGGCTGTCACTGTCCACATGGTCACATTTGACTTTGAGAAAGCTTACTCCAGCTGGACTATGAAGAGTGTGAACGTGAAGACTTGAAGAAAACCAACAGGTGCTGTAACCCCTGGGATGAATCTGCAAGGTGACGTCAGGACGGAGAGTGTGACAACGTGGTGCCCAATGGCCTGGATCTGATGACTGGCTGGATGCGGTGGGTGCACGGGAAGGAGAAGCGAAGGCCTTCGCGAGATTTTTCATTAGGGTGGAAATCATGAAATACGGTGAGAAGATGAAGAGTCGACTAGATCTGTATCTCCTTAGGCTTGTGATGAAACCGAGGAGATTTATGGGTCTCCGTAGA